TGTGTGTGTGTGTGTGTGTGTGTGTGTAGTGTGTGTGTGTGTGTGTGTGTGTGTGTGTGTGTGTGTGTGTGTGTGTGTGTGTGTGTGTGTGCGTGCGCGCGCGCATGTACGCGTGTCCGCGCTTGTGTTTTAAAACTGTTTGCTAATGTTTAATAACATGTATAGACTTCAATGATAAAACCTGTGTGACTGTTGCTTTCGGTTCACATGGTGAATAAGCGCATGACCTTTAGTATTACTAAATATTTATTTTCAATAGTGCATTCTACATTGCTGTAAACCTTTCAAAACGCATGAGCTTCCGTCCTTAAAATCGCAGCACGAACTGTTTCAGCGAGAGCGCGGGGAAAAGGACTCGAGAGTTGCATAGAATTTATAATAACGTGTCTCTAATGCGGATGTACTTTGCTAATAAAAAGCTGCGTGCATTAGCAAAATGCATGCATGCGCATGCAGACGTGGAAATGGGTGTCGGTTGCCTGTCCGCGTAGTTGCGCGTGCGCATGCGCGCGATGAATAATCGGCCTTACTTATGCAAGGCGAGCAGGTGCGGGGAGACGAACCGAATACAGTGGCGGAGAATTGATAGCGACAATCGCATTGAAACCGCTCGCGTTATGCGCGCGACTAATCTGTATGTCGATTCAGGAGACGGCAGAGAGCCTCTCTGCTGCTCTCGACGTTCGAACGCGCGCGCACACACGAACGCCGCGACCGTCCATTTCGTGTTCACGACAACGCGGCGACATTTTGACTCGTACGCACGCACGCGGCGCGCTTGCGCGTTGACATCCAAGCATGCGCTACACGGGGTGATGTTTGTGGATTTACATTTTACAGGAAAATGTACATAAGGATTTGTGAATTGGGTAAAATTAATCCGCGCACGCACTAACATGCACGCAGACATGTTCGCACATACGTGGGCGCGCGCGCACACACACACAAACGCGCGCGCACGCACGTAGTTTTAAGCGCACGCACGTAGGCTCGCACACGCGCGCGCAACACACGTAATCTATCATAGCTATCGCCAATCGATATATCAATACCGTTGAAACCGTCATTCAAAATTAGTTAGCTGTCTTGTACTAACACGAGAGATCAATGCGCTACTATTTCGCGTCAGACAACAACTGCACGCAGCGTTTTAAATGGATAGTGAAGCACGTTATTATTGTTAAACCGCTAGAGTAACAAACTTGAAAGAAGTCATATAGTATAATATGCCATAGGCCATTATCCTAGACGACCTGTTTTTCCTACATAAAAAGAAAAAACATGGCCGTATTTTCTAAATTATTTTAAACTTCATTCCAGAATGTCACCACTCCCTTGCCGTTACTGTTATATTTAATGCGGCGTGCACATAAATTACTGCATGCAGGCTTGTGCGCGCGCTCTCTGTCTATCACGTAGCCGAGATGCGTAATGTTTCATCATGCCATAAATCCGCGCTGTCATCATGGCCGCGCCAGTCCGAGCTAATGGCCGCTTTAACCAGCGCGCAAACATTTATACCAAGTGATAGGTACTACGAGTAATGGAATATTATTTTATTGCTTATATCTTAATTCCATAACGGTTGCCGTCCCTACGGTTTTACCCGGAGGCCGGCCGGCGGACGGGCTGATTGCCATGTCATCTCTGCTTAATAGTAGAGCGTTAATTTGCCCGTTTCAAAATCATTGCAAATTGCCGTCGGAATGAAACAGCGCGGGGCACGACTTTCTCTCTCGCCCCCCCCCTATTTTGTGTGTGTGTGTGTGTGTGTGTGTGTGTGTGTGTGTGTGTGTGTGTGTGTGTGTGTGTGTGTGTGTGTGTGTGTGTGTGTGTCAATAGTTAACCAGCGGTACGTTCCGTATACCGGACCGCTACTCAGGCCGTACGCTTCGGCAGTACCCTGGGGGGAACACTAGACTCTATGCAGCACTACTACTACGCCGTCCTACTACTACTACTACCAAGGCCCTTAGCCTGTGGGGGGGGCAAGTGAGTACCCTCCTAGATTTTGAGCAAACTTAAAAAAAGGCGCAGCTAAAATCGCCTAAATAATCTTAACGCCATATTTTTGGCGTACTATCGGTGAAAGCCTTGTCTCAAGCCCACCCCTACCACCAACTATGACCGGTCAGATTCAAGAGCCTGCAGCCGTCGCTCATCACTTACACAGTTGAGTCAATGCAAATTTTTAGCTCCCCGCTTGAGGAAATTTGCTATCAGCCTACCGTCCTACTTACTACTAATACTAACTACTACTACACTACTACACTAACTGACTTACTACTACTACACAATACTTACTACTACACGACTACTACTACTACTACTACTACTAACTGCTGCTCGCCAGTCCCTGCTACTTCCTTACTGCTACTGCTACTCTACTGCCTACTGCTGCTGCCCCTGCTGCTGCTGCTGCTGCTACTGCCTACTGCTTACATCCGCTTACTGCTACTGCTACTGCCTACAGTTTACACTTGCTGCCTGCTGCTGCTGCTGCTGCTGCTGCTGCTGCTGCTGTGCTGCGTACTACTACTACTAACTTACTACTATACACCACTCAGCCGGCTACTACTACTACTACTACTACTACTACTACTACTACTACTACTACTACTACTACTACTATCTACTACTACTACTTACTATCTACGACTACTACTACTACTACTACTACTACTACTACTACTACTACTACCACTACTACTTACTACTACTACTACTAACTACTACTACTACTTACTACCTTACTACTACTACTACAACTAGCCTACTATACACTACTACTACTACAACTGTTACTACTAGACAACTACCGCCTACTACTACAACTACTTACCAACGACCACTACGAACGAACTAGAAAACATGGATCGCGGCGTAGCTGAGTAGCCACGGTAGCCCGTATCTAACTGAACCCTATACTGCACCCAGCTAAAAAGGACGCAACTAATATACCAATCATCCATCATTGTAAATATGGACGCTCCGTAAGTGGTAATCATATACAATCCACCATTTTATCCCTTAAAAATCGAAGTCAAACATTAATTACTATTAACGTATCAACCCGTATATAAAAAGGCGGATTGGACTGATTGCAAAAACCGTTTTTTTTAATAAGCGCAAGTCGAAATGTGCTCTGTCATGAATGTGTTGGGGTGTGGGGTGTGTCGGCTATGTGGAAAGTGCTGTCTGTGGTTGTGGTGTTTGATGTGCCCTGTGATCGTGTGGCCACATGTGTGTGTGTGTGTCGTATGTGGATACTGTTGTGTGCTGTGCTAGGTGATGTGCCGTGTTGTGTGTGCGACGCTGTGTGTGATGTGGTTGTGGTGTGTGTGTGTGTGTGGGTCTGTTGGGTGCTGTGTGTAGTGGGGTAGAAGCGTGTGGTGTTTGACTAGTGTGGTTGCGTGGGTGTGGCGGCCGACTGCCGAGAGAGAGAGAGAAGAGAGAGAGAAGATGATGAGGAGAGAGAGAATGTATGATATTAGGAGAGGTAGGGCGGGGGGGCGACTGAGGACAAGGCAAAATAGAACACTAGCATGTCGGCACGTAGAAGGAGAAGCAGGCCCTAAGCGAACGACAACAGCAAGCCGGCGGAATAAGGCTGTCAGGGGGTGCGCCGCGCTAGGAAAAAGGAGATTTGCGACCCCAACATGCTAAGGCGCTCATCCCATTTAATAAAACACAGCCACATACATGTACTTATTAAGAATTAATTAGGGCCGGACGAGTAAGGGTCGTGGAGTGCGGCGCTGAGAGATCACCCCTCAGACCATCATTAAATACATAATTCATCCCACAAAAGTATAAACTCCTCTCCGGTTGAATATTGCGCCCTGCGGCCCAACAAAACTAACCGCTAGCCATATTGTGTACTGGAAGTGGCTATGGAGGGTGCACGGCTGCGAGCGGGCCCTTTACGAGCTCGGGCAAGGACACGTGTCTTCTACGTTCCGATGTACTCATGTCTTGCTCCAGCATATTGCATGAGAGACGCATACGGGGTACAGTAAGGTGACGAAGAGAATAAACTCACAAGATTCAGTCTTTAGGGCACGTGAACCTACATTACGGTCAACGGCGGAATGCTGAACATGCACTTCGGCTACTTAGGAGCTAGGCGCGCGCCTGTGTATCTGCACGAGGGGAGGTGGTGACACAACGAGCGATATCGGTACAGCGCGTGCCAGCGCAAACATATTCTTCGCCTAACTCAAGCGAGGCAGCGCAGCGAGTCTCTCACGCGCTCGGCGCAGCGCGCTGTCGCTCGGTCGGTGAGCGCGCGCCGCCGGCGTATGGCGACGCCGCCCCGCGCGTTCTGCGCCTCGCGCGCCGGCTCGCACGCGCGCGCCGCCCGCGCCTACTTCGGAAAGGCAACTCGATTATATTAGCTTTGCTAGGAGAGAGCTGCCGTGGGAGGCTGCAGCAAAGATGGCCCAGGCGAATGATAGCCCGAGCGTCGCTGTCGGGCTCGCTCTCGGTGGTAGAAGAAAAAAAGAGGCTGGGAGCGAGGGACACACGGAGACGCAAGAGAGCAGAGGCCGCGGCGGAGGCCGCATGAATTGATCAGCGATTTTTTGCCACCCTATCAGGCTAGGGCGCTCTCTCCAATATATAACAGACGCTCGTTCCCTACTTGATAAAGAATAATTACATAAATCTGTGGCTGCTATACCGCCACAGCTTACTCCCTAAATCCATCATTTAAATTGCACGTATTCAATCATCAAAAGCAGTAACTCCCTTCTGTCTGGGGAAAGTACCTTGCGCATGCACCTTGCAACATACTCATCCGTCAGCCGATTGTCGTTTGTAGCGCTCCTGCAATTGGCATATGCACCTCCAAGCACTTCACCATTCAAGACGCCTTCTTCCTACTTTATTCGAGAGGCAGCGGCCTACACGATAAAAATGGTTGATCATCATGGCAATTCTATGCCCTGTAGAAGTACCCTCTCACGATGTCTACTCATGCCATTAATTTCCGCGCCAAAATATTCGTTTTCTCGCCGAGATAGTTGCGCATGCTGCGAGCCCGTATCGGCGTGCAGTACAGTACTGACGTCACTCTGCATTAATAGAAGCTTGCTGAGAGGAGGAAACGCCTGCGTCGTCGTTGCCGCGGAGGGCGTGAGGAAAGAGCGCGGGTGGTCCAGCCGAAGATAGCTGAGGTCGGCGGGGCGTAGGAAGAAGAACAGGGGCTCAGCGGCAGCGACAAACGGGACGCAAAGAGAAAAGGGCTCGGAGGGGGGACGGAGGCGCATGCGATTGATTGCCAGCGCTCCACTTACAGGCCTACTCAGGCGCGCGCTTCTGCCCAGATTGATAAACAAAGGTCTGCACGATCGATTGAATGAGATTAATGCACCAGTATCGAACCGTGCTGCTGCCTATACCCCATAACCATATTAAATGCAATATGATATCATCATGTAAAATATAACTCCTCTGCGGAGATATCGCATGCGGCCCAACATGCCGTCACTAATCCCTAGCCAGGATTGTGTTACTTATAATGGTATATGGCCGCAGGTCAACTTCAGCATGCAAGACCAATTGTGCGTCGAGCAGAGGCTTTCGGATAAGAATGTTATATATGTAAGTCTACGGCCTAGAATACCCTCGTCAGATTCATATGCCAATACATTTTCGTGAAACTATTTTTGCTCTCTCGGGAGTATTACTTGCCGCCATTGCCACGCAGCACCATCCTCTCTCTCTGTTGCTCTGTCGTCACCTACATCTTATCGGCTCTCTGCTCTGGTCCTCAACATAAACATGC